AAGGTAGCTTAGGATGTTGCGCTTAAACAGAAATCACGGATAACCGAGGAAACGTGTTTTAATTGCACACAAGTCGTCCTAGGTTTCAGAGTAGGGTAGGCAGCTATTAGAATCGGCGTGGATATCTTGTGTCAGTCGACTGACACAAGCGCCGAAGAACAAATCCTTTCTACGAGGTTAGTTCCGTCTTTTTGCCATCATCAGGGTAGCTCTCGGGCCCTATATAACATTCGGTGGGTACTTCACCAATTTGGGCCTTCATTTAGGACAATACACTAAATCACTCTATTTTAAAACAAGTCTTCTCACTGAAATAAAATAGTATCGACCCTGTTAAAACAATAGTATTCAATAGAAGAACCGGTGTAAATAACTATTTGCGTATCATGAAGAAAGTAAACAATAAAATATGATAACAAAATAAATAACCGTGAATTAAAAATATATTACCTCTCGCTAGTTCACAACACGTCGGTAGAAATAACATTCAAAAAGAAAAGACATTGACTGGAAAAAGGGTTGTATTATAGTGGTTGTTAATGATTTCTGTAGATGATTTGCAAAGTGATAAAATCATTTCACGTTCCCTACTAATAAAACCAGCAGTAGTATTTACACAACTTCATTCTATATTTTTCTTCTTATGGAAAAAGATGGAAGTATTTTTGGGGAAATGGTCATTTTTTTGCTTATGGATAAGCTACTCGCATTTCGAAGCTATAGTACGTAGTACAAATTAATAATCGTGTGAAATAAGGATTACGTCATATCAAGAAAGACAAAATATGCTTTTTATTAGATTCTGCAATTAATGTGGTTCCTAGCGGATCACTAACACGTACTTTGACAAATCGTTTTAAGTAAATGCCCCTCTTTAGGATTGACTCATACAGTTATGCCTTAGCTAAATCTCCATGATCCCATTACTTTAGCATCATCCAATTTTAGTCCACATAATCAAAATCAAGCATTTGCTTATACTACGATCGCTATGATTCATCCAAATTTACTCCAGATGATAAAAAAAATCAAGTGTAAGTTCTAAGGGACATGTATATGATATAAAAAATTTCAAATAGAGGTAAGTTGGTAACATGTACATAGATTATAACAACATGTAGTTATGTTCATACAACCTTGCTAAGGTTTTAGTTTAAATATGGATTGACTATATGTAATCAAGATTATTTTATATCTTTAGAGTATTATATAGAAAATATTCATTTATAAAATAGTTGTTTTATGAAGAGATTTGAAATTTCAGAGGATAATTTAATGATGTGAAAAATGTATAGCCGTATGGTATGGGTTTGTTTGAATTATTTGCTTCAACTATTTATAACTGTGCAGATATGATTTATTCATTTATCTAAAAGATTAACATTAAAAGCCTAAACTAACTTATTCTCACTTGTGACGCAAGCAATGACACGCGTGACGCGGTTCATGCGATGACTTGTTTAGTTTACAGCCTCTCACGCGCTATGTATTCTTCTTCATTTTTTTCTTCTAAGTTAAGGGGGTTCCCTCGTCTGTAGTGATCTCAGTGTAACCGTCCTACGTTTTATGTCCACAAAGATTAATGAGGTGTGATGGATTGCCGTTTCCAATAAATCTCTCAATTAATGCTCAAATCGCTAAACAACTTTTAAACTATTTCTTCATTTGGTACTATAGCTTTGGGTCAAATCATTATCTTATACAAAAGACAATGTCACATGTACAGTATATATAGCCTTATAATATGCACAACCACATATAAATACAATTGTTGAATTGTGAAAGAATCAAACATTTTAGACATTTTCTCCTATCAACATCTTTCTTCCCCTCTTCTGTTTCTCCTGGTACCTCTCTCCCCTCTCTATCTCTTTTCATTCTCTGCATGTAAGTAGTTGCAATTATGTGAATAAAAAAGTTTGTTTATTTGATCAATTAGTTGATTCTTGTTCTTGATTGGTTTGATTTAGCTTTTATGATCTAATAGATGACGGATGATGATAATGATGGATATTGTTTTATTGCTATATGCTCTGTTCATTTGCTAGAGAAATTTTGTGAGAGAAGAAACATATCCAACAAAACGAAATTTCATATTTTCTAAATTATTATTAAGAAGGTGGACCTTGTAAGTTGTTTTTTGGTCTGTTAAAAAAAAAAAAAAAAGCCGGTCAAAATAATATTACCTTTTAACTCTGGTCATAGTCAAAAAATGAGTGCTTCCTCCGTTGAAATTTAGACACTGGAAAATCTGTACTTGCAAATTGAATGGTCGGTCCATGACAAAACCAAGATGAAAAGTCGTCTTTTATATCTTTCTACCTTATATTATAAGATGTGATTGGTCTTTGTGGGGATCAAACTCACCATTAGTCAAGAAATGAAATTTCTGTCTGGATAAGTTTGGTGAAGCTCTCTCTTGCTCTACTTTTTGCATTTCGCTTCACTCTCTTTACATTTTCTTTCATATAAAGCAGTGGGTGAGAGAGAGAGGGTAGGTGAAATCTGAAAGGAATCAAATATCGTTGGAGTTGTTGTCTATTTGTAAGTCCAGTGTCTAATCTTTTTGACCTATTTGTTGCAATCATGGAGTACAGCCTTGACCTTTTTAATATACATATACCCCTCCATGTGATATATGTCCATTCACTTGAAGCCACCTAGTTGAAGTGTCTTATAAGGCTTTGATTACAGTTTGTTTACAGCTGTGACATTCATCAAAAGCTATGGATTTCAATCAACAAGCTCATCCGGATTGCATATATTCTGCCAATCCTTTCCATGAATGTGCTTCAGCTTGTTTAGAGAGGATTGCTCAAGGCCATGTGATCAAGAAGAGCCCTAAGAAGCAAGGTACCAGCTTATTATTCTGATCATTCTTATGCTTTGCTAGTTATTTTTGCACTTTTTTGTAAAAATAACCAATGGAGTTGATTACGTTGTGAGTAATATTATAATTTTTTATTTATTACAGGTTCAAAGATTCTTAGCTTCTCAGGAAGTTTCGGTAGGAAAAAGAAGGAAACGCATTCACAACCGCCTTCACCGTTATCTGCAAGGCCTAATCAAAACGGTGGTGGCGTTTTTGGAAACGCTAATAATACCCCAAGGGTTCATCGTTCAGTACCTCCACCTGTTGCTGTAAAGAACAAGAAAGTTTCTGATTCGGACAAGTCTTTCTCCTCTTCTTCATCCGGCGACCCTGATGATTTCTATAAGCATAAACCGGAGATGAAACTCTCTCAAATCATGCCTTTTTCACCTAAACCGGGAAAACAAGAACAAGACGTGAATAAGACTGAAGCATGCACAGAAACTACACTGTTTAATCTCCTAAGCTCTCCAATACAGCATGAAAAAGAGAGCAGTGATGATTACAATGATGATGATGACAACATCAATGAGATTGGAGTAGAGCTCGATCTTGAATCAGTTATGTCTGACACTTTTGTCTCTGTCGGAAAATACAAAGTGAGGTCTGGTTCGTCACCAATTCTAACCGGTATCATCGAGAAACATGGAGACATTGCTCAAGACTGTAAGCTGGAGTCAGACTCAATGCGGTCCCGTTACCTCGAGTGTTTATGCTCATTAATGCAGGAGCTCAGGTCAACTCCTGTCGGGCAGTTGACTAAAGTCAAAGTCAAAGAGATGCTCGCAGTTCTCAAAGACTTGGAGTCTGTGAACATCGAAGTGGCCTGGCTACGTACGGTTCTTGAGGAGTTTGCGCAGTCTCAAGAAGATGCAGAGAATGAGAAAGAGATGCAAGAGGAGTTAGTGAAGGCTAAGAGAGAAGAGCTCGAAGCTCAAGAAGTCGATTTGGTTCGGTTGGAGGAGGAAGTGGCCAAAGCGAGGTTAGGGATCGAGGAGACAAGGGCTGTGGTGGTCGAGATGGAAAGGGAACGGTCGAGGATGGAGAAAATGGGATTCAAAATTGAGAAGTTTAAAGGGAAAGCGTTTATAGATGAGCTTCTGTGAGATTGTGATGTTGTTAGTAGTAAGTAGTAGCCCAAAAATTTTACAAAAAAAAAAAAAAAAGTAGTAGTCCAAAAATCAAAATACTCTAAATGAGTTGTTTTTAAAGTTTAGGCTTTAAGGTTGATAAAAAAAATGTTTAGGCTTTAAGTATATGGGAAAGCTTTCACTAAGGTGAATGTTGTTGCTTATTAGTAGTAACTTGTGATGGTGTTGAAGTTTTTTTTGTTGAGATATCGTGTTTGTTGCTACTAAATAAATATGTTTTGGCTTTGTGATGCAAAGTGTATGTTTATTTATTAGTAACTTGTGAAGGTGTTGAAGTCTTTTTGTTAAGATATCTTGTTTGTTGCTACTAAATAAAAATGGTTGTTTTGCCAATGTTTTAGTTTATCACTAAGTCAACATTCATAATTAGTTTCATATTTAAATAGTCATTTTGATGGTAAGAAAAATGTCAACTACCAAGTAGAAAGACAAAATAAACTCTTGTGCTTTGTATTCACTGATCATTTGCTTGGGAACAGTTGCAACATATTAACCAACAAATTTGTTATTGGCGATAGTGCCATAAGGCTTCAGTTACTCATGTGGCCTTTACAGTGAGCCCACTGAAACGTGGCCCAACCAGCAGCTCCCCTTGGTTCTACTCACGAAATTGAAGACTAAGGCATAAACCGGCAGAATTATACCAGAATTCCCACAAAAGTTTGTGATTTGGTCTTTCTGCACAAGAGTAATAATCAAATAACCTTGTTAGAGTCAAGTCTTAACTAATAGTAGAGAGCAAATTTTTTAAGGCAACTGATGTAAAACTCCAAAGAAAATTGGTTGTCGCTTGAAATCACCTTGACAATGAATCTTTGTTTTCTTGTTTGTTTTTTGGTAATTAACAAATTTTGTGAACAAAAAAATTATTTCTAGATACTCCAAAGATATAATTAGGTTTATTTATTGCAGCTTGCCTTGTGCTCTTATCCATAACCTAGAAAGGAACAGAAAACAAAACCCTTAACGGCACAATCTATATAATAATAGTAGAGTTTCTAGGCTCCACAACGCGCCACGTTAACAGTTTTGTGGGACCCATAGATGTTGTTTTAAAACCTATAGATTTAGTAAGATGATTATGAACAATGAAATACACTTTAGCCAAGTGGTATAAGGTGTCCAATTAAGCATGTAAGATCGTGGGTTCAAACAACGTAGCTATCATGTATTTTTGATTTTTTGACTTGGGTTATTATCAAATGGGCTTTTTGTTTATAAAATTTTTATGTATTTTTTGGGCTTATTATTTTAAAGATCTTGGATAAAACCTAAAGTTTAACAAGTTCAAACCCAAAAATAGTTAAAAATAGATCCAAAAACGAACAATAAAAAAAAAAATAGTCTCACGCGGTTGCATACGCGGATGGCGTAAAGAACCTTAAAACTATCATATTATAATATAGCTCAACCCAAAAATAATAAAAAATGGATCTAAAAACGAACAGACCAAAAAAAAAAAAAAAAGACACGCGGCTGCCTACGTGGATGGCTTAATGAAACTGGAATAATATAGATTAAGAGCTCCAAAATTTAATCCTTGCACAGATTTCCTAATATATATTTTCAAAAAAATTGTATGTGAGATAAAATTAAAAAAAACAACAAAATTTAATTATTTTTTGTTATTTATTAAATGAATATGTAATTTCTCTTACATTTTAATAACTACTATAATTTCATTGAAAACCTTCCTCACCACCGATTCCAGACCCTGGCGAATGGATTCCCACAGTCGATGACGCCGTAGATAAAAATGCCACATCATTTATGAACAAAACTCAAACTTACAAAAAACCATATATAAAAATCTATCTAATGAAACTTAAACAACGAATATTAACTTAATTAAGGTTATTTTCAAATTGATAAATCATTTAATACAAATATAAATACTATAAATATAGAATTATATCAAGTTTTGACCTACAATATAAAAAAAATATTTACAGCAAAAAGAAAACACCTACGTTTACACACTAAAAACTATATTATAGTCTAACTATTACTATAAACCTTATTTCGTATATAAATAACATTTAACAAATTCCTAATATATTTTTTTAAAAATTGTATGTGAAATAAAATAAAATAAAAACAAATATTAAGTATTTTTTGTTATTTATTAAATGAATATGTAATTTCTCTTACATTTTAATAACTAATATAATTTCATTGAAAACATTCCTCACCATTAACTCCTGACTCTGGCGAATGGATTCCATAGTCGATGACGCCGTAGATAAAAATGCCACATCATTTATGAATAAAACCCAAACTTACAAAAAACCATATATAAAAACCTATCTAATGAAACTTAAACAACGAATATTAACTTAATTAAGGTTATTTTCAAATTGATAAATCGTTTAATACGAATATAAATACTATAAATATAGAATTATATCAAGTTTGACCTACGATATAAAAACTATTTACAGCAAAAAAATAAAAAATAGACACCTACTTTTACACACTAAAAACTATATTATAGCCTAACTATTCCTATAAACTTTACTTCACATATAAATAACATTTAACACATTATATATACAATATTTTCACTTTACATTCTTACTACATTCTTTCAGTTTCATTATTATTTGGTGTTATTAGAAGAATCCACTAAACCAACAATCGGAAAAATATTGGAAACACAATGATCCTATCTCCGCGCTTGCGCGGGGAGTATGCAACTAGTTTATATAAGCAAGTGGTCCATAAGCTGCTAGGGTTTACAAGCTTCAAAACGAGTGGACTATATTGGAAGCTAAGAATAAGAGATAACGAATAAATAAAAAGATCATAACGGCTAGGCTATTAATGTGGTCCCTTCCTCTCTCACCTCTCAGTGTTTCACTTTACTGAAAAGACGAGACGTGACATCGTTTCTACCCCCTCACATACGTGACTGTGATCGTTTTAGAAAATTTACTGTTTAGCCCAAATTCATGAATCATGAGTCAATTATTTTGTTAGAAATGCATACGATTCAGATCATTTCCCTAAAGATCCAAACATCAACGTGTTGGGTGGGTCTATAAATTTCAAAACTGTAGTACATGGAACTGTAGAAGTTTACTAATACGTGTATGTTTTTTTTTTTTTTTTTTGACAACACTAATACGTGTATGTATGGGTGTGAAGTTGCCCATGTGTGATGATTAATAGCTAAGCGACACACGTTAAAAAGCTGAGTGCGGTGGAGAAAAATGGGTTTAGTGTCTCGTTATTTGTTTGCTTGTTAGAATACCATTGGCTTCACCTTATTCATTCACTAATACAAATATTGATAGTCTTTCTTTATTAAACTTAATATATTAATTTTATAATTAGCAGAAAATAATCTATATATTATAATGATTGAGTTTAAAGACTCTTTAAACTGTCCACATAGGCACATTGTGGGTCTCACATTTTTATATTAAAATATATAGTATTTTTAAAATAACTACAAACAAAGAATATCAGTTTAGCCAAGTGGTCTAAAACCCCATGTTTGGTCTCTAAGGACATGGGTTCAATTCCCATTGCTCTCATGCATAAACTATTTAATGTCATCATCATAAAAATATTTTTTAAACACACATAGTCTTGGTAAGATGGTCACAAACAATGAAATACACTTTAGCCAAGTGGTATATAAGGTGTCTAATTAAGTATTTAAGATTGTGGGTTCAAACCACGCAGCTATCATGTATTTTTGATTTTTTTTATTTAGGTTATTATCATATGGACTTTTTGTTTTAAAGATCAAAATAGTTGCATAAACCCTAAACCTTAATAAGTTCAAACCTAAAATAAAAATGAATCTAAAACGAATAATAAAACAAAAAACAAAAAAAACAAGTCTCATGTGGTTGCCTACGCGGATGGTTTAAAGAACCTTAAAACTATCCTATTATAATATAGCTCAACCCAAAAATAATAAAAAATAAATCCAAAACGAACAAACAAAAAAAAAACAAAAAAAAATTGAATTCCACGTGGGTGCATACGTGGATGGTTTAATGAGGGTTGAATAATATAGATTAGGAGCTCAAAAAGTTAAATCATTGCACATATTTCCTAATATATATTTTCAAAAAATTTGTATGTGAGATAAAATAAAATAAAACAACAAAAATTAATTATTTTCGTTATTATTAAATGAATATATAATTTCTCTTACATTTTAATAACTACTATAATTTCCTTGAAAACATT